GGGGACAGGCAGCATCTTGGAAGGCAGCGGCTCCTCCATTCTGAGTGCCTCTGAGGGGGCTGCTGGCACAGGACACCAGCCACCGCCTCTGGGACATGGAGAGAGAAGGACGCGAAGTCTGGGGGCGGAGGGCCAGTCATATTTTCTCTCCAAGCACTGGTGGCTGGCGTGGAGCTGGCAGCACCCTCATTCCTTTCCTCCTAAAGGCCTGGATGTCTTTTTATTTTATTTATTTATTTTTTAAACATTTTTCTTATGTTTGTTTCTATTGCTTGTAATCAGAGAACCTTCCTGGTAGCCCTCTTGTTATTTAAGTAAGCTGTTTAAGGGGCCCTCTGTTTCCCCACAACCAAAAGAAACCCAGCCCCCTGATATATTTCCCAGATTCCCCTCTAGTAGCACTTCCACGCCCTGGGGTAGACAGACGGAAGCGCTGGCTGGTGACCACAGCCCTCCCTTGGGGGACCCACCTGCAGAGGGGCTCAGCCCTCGGCTTTGCTGCAGATGATGCCGCTTGGGAGAAATGCGGTTGGCCCTCTCCAGAAAAGACTCAAACCTCCTCCCAAACTACCTCCAGGCCCCACTCACCTCCTTATCACTTCTTGTAGGATTGATCCCTGGGGGAGGACTGAGCCCTTGGGGCCCTGCAAGCTCGAAGTTTCTCCCTCCCTGCAGGCAGGCCTCCTTCCAGGTCACAGCCCACAGCCACCTCCACTCCTTGCACCTATAGCCCAACAGTGAGACCAGAAAATAATAATAATGACTCCCAACTGGGGCAGTCTCACATCTGTCATCTTATTTCTTGTCTTCCACCCAACCATCCTGTGAGAGCAGTATCTCCATTTTACAGATGAGGATACAGGCTCAGAGAGGTTAGGTGACTTTCTCAAGGTCACATGTCTGGAGACAGAATCATTGGTTGAAAATGCCAGTGAGCCATGAGGCGCCCAGTGGTGTTCACCTCCAGGGAAAGCTTTGAAGCTGTGATTGGATCTCTCTTCTGTTCTGAGAAACCAGGTTCCTGCAGGTGCTGGGTCCTGCCTGACTCCTTTGGCCATAGAGTGGGGTCCAAATTACCTGCATTAAGCAGAAGGAGGTTTTCCCATTTCACTTGAATTTTCTATTTCTCTCAGGACTAACAGATCTGTGGATGAAAGGGATGTGATATAAATAGCTACTTTCACGCTTAATCAAGTTTCGTGTTCCATCTTGCTCAAAACGGTTCCCACTGGAGAGGAGGGACTTCCGTCTCCCACCTGCAGGCTGTTATCTCTGTACTCCCTTATGCCCTAATTACCCGAAAGTAGAAGTCACAAATCTGATTGGCCAGGGTCCAGAACGTTCCTTTGGCACCATATTACCAGTGGGCAGGCTTACTACATCTTAAAAGTCAGTCCCCATGTGCTCAATGAAAGCCTATTTATTTCAAGGTAAAGCCTGCCTTGGGGGTAGGACTGATCAGGGTTTTTCCTGCCTCCTCAACGTCTACAGCTGAGTGGGCAAATGGGGCCAGAGGAAGAAAGGGGCCTCATTTATACCTTCAACCCAACTTCAAATGCTTCAAAGTAGCTTTCTCTTTAGCTCAGTTATGAACAAAGTGGCATTCTTATTTCTCATTTAATTGGTGGTGTGCTAGTAAATGTTTAACACCCAACTCTTTGGGGGAGTGGAGGTGGGCAGGAACAAACATGATTTGTACATTCGCCAATTTCCGTGGTGTAAAAACTCTCACGATGGTCAATATCCTATGCCAATGTGACATTCTTAGGAAGTAATACACGTTAGTACACTATTAGATAGTATTTCCACCAACTATAGCGGTGTCATGGACATCACCTCAAGAACACAGGGAAATGTAAAATGAAACAAAATAGGCTGTGATGGATTTTGAGTATTCTTTAACTTAGTTGTAAATACAGTCTAATTGTGAGTTGACACAGTTTAATTTTTAATAATGGCTGTATTTAACAACCAGCTGACAAAACTCCAGAATTTTAGCAGTTGGTGCTCACGAGCTATTCAAGCTGGCTCGAGCATGTAAAGCCTTCAGCTATTATTCTTCGAATATGTTCTTCTCTCAATCAGGACTCCTATCATTTTCATCTGCCAACATCCTTTTCTTTGGCAAACAGTCTCTTCCATTTTGTGCTGGGGGAAGCTCTCTTCCCTCATTCCCTAAAACATGCCAAGAGTAGTGCCTATCCCACTAGGTGATGATGAGATTGTTTATATCAATCGTCTTCCTCTGCGCCTTCAGAGGTGGCCAATCTTGTGCACATGGGGGGTTCAAATGGGGGTAAGGTTAGGGGTTAGCAGGAGGCCAGAGCTACTGGGACTGGAGAGGGAATGGGAAACAGGCCCCCACTGGATGTACCGCCCTTGGTTTTCCCCACCCTCATTAAAATTCTCTAGCCCCTCTCACTGGCCTTGCCAGCCAGAAGTTTCTCAGAGTGAAGGAGGGAGCTTCTCCAACAGCAGTCAGCCCCAGGGGCAATAGGATAGGAATTGAGCCCCACATGGGGCTCTCTGCTCAACAGGGAGCCTACTTCCTCCTCTCTCTCTGCCTGCCTCTCTGCCTACTTGTGATCTCTGTCAAATAAATAAATAAAACCTTAAATTAAAAAAAATCAATATTTAAAAAAAAAGGGGGGGGGAGATCTGCCTTTTTCCTGGGGAGGGGAGACGGGCCTGGAATCCCTGACCAGGATGAGAGGACTGCTATGGGTAGAGCAGAGGTTACAAACTCTACCGGACTGTCCAGCCTTTATTTTATTTGGTCCGAATTGTGTTCTGGAAATATCTGAATTCATCGCTAAGATTTAGAAAGCAGGAGCTGTGATCTGGCAGCGTGTTACCCTCCTGGCTGGGCAACAAGCAGTGGGAAGTCAGGGTCAGCTGCTCCACACCCCCCCACCCCGCCTCTACCCCCACCCCCACCTCCTCCGCGCCTCCACCCCCTCAGGTTCCCCAGTTAGCCACTCTCCACCTGGCTTCCTGTACCCCTTTCGCAGTTTCCAGCTGGGTCTTGCAGGCATGCGCATTTGCGTCCTCAAGCACACAGGTTGCTGCACAAACGTTGGGGCAAGGGTCTGCAACTTACCGGAGTTCCGGGCACCCATTCCCCATCTATCGGCATCTGCATGCTCACCACGGACGGAACCTCCTGTGATTGCAGAGGAACCGTCGTCTCTGCTTCCACATAACTCCGATCCTTCCACTGTAAAGTAGGTCCCACCTCTCTTGTCCACTCGAGGACATCATTCCACCCAGGACTCATCGACAGCATCACTTTTTCTCCCTCTGCCCGACCACAAACAAGCAGTAATTTCTCCCTTAATAAAGACCTCTCAACCCCGCTTGCCCTGCCAGTTATTGCCCTAAGAGGCCGCTAACCGCCTCTCAAGAGTCTTCTCCACCCTCGGTCTCCAATTCACCTCCACCCCCTTCTCTTAAAAGCGACTCTGGTCAGGCGTTAAATCCCCCTCACTGAGCTAAAACTACTCTTTACAAGGTCACCGACACTAAGGCCTCCTCGTCAGCTCGAGGAGGGCGTCTCAGGCACGTGGTGCCGGGCGATCGGTGCTATGGGTCAGAGCTGACCACGCCCCCTCCCAAACACCGCCTCCCGCTGCAATTCTAAGACGCCGGATTCGCTCCTTTCAGTTCTCTTTTGCAGGAAGCCCAAATGTCACAAATTCTTTGGCTAGGATCTACCGTGGCTGCAGGCAGAATGAGGGCACGGGGGAGTCCAGATGCCAAGCGTCAAAATGTTACACTGTTTCCTAAAATACTTCCTTCTTTATTCGTGTGCTTGTGTTGCAGAGCTCTTGCTCCTTCTGGCCAGAGAGACAGCACCTGGCGGCAGGGGTGGTGGCCGTGGTGGGTACCCCGCAGGCCATAGACACCTCTGACCCATCAAGGGGGAAAGAGCGGCGGGGCCTGGGCCACACTGGGCGGCACCACTGCTTCTGGCTTAGCTGTATTGTGATGAAGCCTCCTACTTGCTTTCCATGCTTCCTGCCTTAGTCTATTCTCACCTTAGCAGCCCAGGTCAGATGCGATCACTCACTGAAAACCCTCTAACTACTCCATACTCCACTTGGAGTAGAACCCAGAGTCCCATGTTTGCAGAGTCCCACTGGGAAGGACCCTCTGCACTCAGCCCTACCATGCTCCCCTCACTCCTCCTGCTCCAGCCACCTGGGTTCTTGCGGGCCTCAAACACCCCGTATGCTTCCACCTTCAACCTTTGCCCTGGCCCCCCTGTGCCTGGAACGTTCCCCCAGCTGTCACATCTCAACTTCCTCCACACCTTGTTTACATGTTACCTCTTCCAGAAATCATATTTGAAACGCCACCTCGCTTTCCTCTGACCCCTCCTGAGCAACCTTGCCCTACTGTTTTTGTTTACCCCTTGGCAGGTCATCAGTGATATTGTATTTTGATCTACTTACTTGTGTTTATTGTCTAGGTCTCTCCCACTCCCAATTCTGAATCTCGGAGGGCACATAACAAGCCCTTCATATTTCTTGAATATGTGATTTTCTAGGAAGGACCATAGCTTTGATCAGATTATCAGAGTTTTTTGGGCCCAAAAACTATTAAACAAAACACTTCCCAGGTCTAAAGCTGTTTGAGAACAAACCGTTTGTTTCAGGCTTTAAAGAACATTTCTGAGCAGGGAAACAGCAAACCAAATACATATTTCCCTTGGGTTTTCCCAATTCCTTTCACGTGGCAGTGTTGGGTGTCCCCTCCTATGGTCTCAGCAGCTTCCAGACCCTGTGAGAGACCTTCCCCAGCAGCAGCACAGAGAGGAGACAGACCATGAGATTTACCCCACAAGTGGGCACTGTATGTGGAGCACATGCTGGGAGCAGTGAGAACAGCAGTAAATACAGAACAGAAAATAACGATCTTTGAAATGACAACAAACGGGACACATTATCTAAGCACTAACACCTAAGGAGGTGGCTGCCCAGGCTCTGGTGGGCAGCTCCTCAGGAGAGAGAGGCCGACTTCTTTCCAGGCTGCCTTGTCTTCAGTCCTTGTAACTTTTCATCTTTCAGTGCCTTCAAGAATTTATCTGCAGGAGAACAAAACAAACACAGCTGTAGTAAAGATAAGGGCTTTTCTAACACTTCCAAAGTAAGCTTCTGGGAAGCAATTGTGTGTTCCCTGCATGAACCCAAAACCCAACATGGGTAGGAAAAATACCCTAACAGACAAAACATGTTTAAGTGAAGAATATGTAGTAAAGAAATCCAGGACTTAGACAAGCCTGTCTTCTAGGAATTCTTTCCATGGCTGTGGGGAAAAGGACCTTACAGGGGATGCCTGATGAGTTGGGGACGATTCTCATGGTCACATTAACCTGAACATTTAGGTAATTTCATACTCTCCTTCCCTGTATGGCAGGGGAGCCAATTTAACCTGTTGTTTTTGTTTTGTTTTGTTTTACAATAGTGGGGATGGTCTTTCTAGAGCAATATCCCCTCCTCCATTGGTATACTATAAGCCTTAGTCAGAACAGGTCATGGGAAGACAAAGTCTGCAGAACAGCTTATGGCTACTGAATATTCCACAGTGTGATAGGTCCTTATGGGAGTAGAATCAGACTTGACTTTACCCTCCAATGGGAAGGATCAGTTAGCTTGCAAGCTAGAGGAATCCTACCCATATCGCACACCTGGTCTGTCCTGGTCCAGATCCCTAAGACTTTAAACCTTCAGTCAGAGGGCAGAGCTCAGGACCCTGGTGAGACAGCTTCCAGGATCAAGGCCAGGGTTCACAGGGAGGTTTCCTTTCAGCACTGAGAAGTGGAAGGCCCCAAAGCCCCTAGATGATCTGTCCTTGGGCTTCCTGGGTCTTGCACAATTCCCATCTACAGACCTAGGTTGGAGTGTCTTACCTACAGACACACCAACTGACATTTGCTTCCACCTCCTCCCATTCAGGACCAAAGTTGAAAATAAATACTAAAGCTCAGGTCTGTAGAGGTAGGGTGTGTGTGTGGTGGGTGATGGTAATATTACTACCACGGTGGGGGTGGGGGGGGTCACGGTGTAAAAGTTTAAAGTGCAGGATGGGGGCTGTGGTGGTTTGAGTTCTAGGTTTAGAGGCTCATAATTCAGATTACCAAACAGGCTCAGGATGGAAGGAGGGTGGAGTTTGGGCCAAAAGTGTTCATGAAATCCTGACTGTGATGAGGGAAGACATCGGTTGAAATCCAGGATGGGGGCGTCGGGGCGCCGGGAGGTGTGGCTGGGTGCTGGAGGAGTTGATCTGGGATCTGGGATTCCTGGGGGCTGGAGTTTGGGCCGGAGGCCACACTGCAGGGGAGAGGTTTAGGAAGGCTTGGAGCCAAGGAGGGAGCCAAGGAGCGAGCCAAGGCGGGCTAAGAGGGGACTCGAGCAAGGTCACGCACAGCGCTGAGAGTCGAAGCCGTCCCCAGTGATGGTGAGCAGCTCCAGCTCCTTAATTCGGATCTCCAGCTCGCACAATTCCTCGGGGTGGGAGGCGGAGGCGACCCGGGGGGTCGTGGGGCCGGGGGCCAGTGGCGAGGCAGCCACCTCGGGCCCCGGCGGTGGCGAATAGAAGAAGCGCAGAGGCTCGTAGGGGATGGAGGCCAGGCCGGAGGGCCAGGGCGGAGGCCAGGGACGCTCGCTGGGAGGCCCCAGGCCCGGTGGCGGCGGCGGCGGGGGCGCCGGAACCTGGGGTGCCTGGGGCAGGGGCCGCCCCGCCACCGCCCCGCCCGCCGCCGCCCCGCCCGCCTTCAGCGGCACGAAGAGCTTCTTCCAGATGTTGAAGTCGCTGAGAGGGGACGAGGAGATGCCACGATCGTAGAGGGAAGGGAAGTAGAGGGGCGGGGCCGGCCGCTGGCTCATGGTAGGGCTCTGGCTGCCGCGCCGCCCCTTCGGCATCTTTTGAATGGGAGGCTGCGTGGGAGGAACCCCGCGCCGGGAGACGCGCGCCTCAGCCGGGAGTCGCGGGGATTCTGAGGTTCTACAGGCCACGCCCCGACGGAGCGCGGCCCCGCCCTTTCGCCCAGCCCCGCCCCGAACGGGCGGAGTTCTAAGGTCCGGCCTGCCACGCCCCAGAACGTGCCCCGCCCACTGACGGCTGGCTGAGTCCTTGCTGTGGGAGAGGATGGGGAGAGCGGGAGGTCTGGGAGTCTTGCAGGCGCGCTCTCGTCCGCCCTATCCGCACCCCTGGTTTTCCGCTACGCTCGGCGATCGCCCCACATCCGCTGTCCTCCAGCCTCCGATCCGGTCCCTCCCCTCGACTGTTCCCAACGCCTCTACATTTCCACAGGCCTCGCTCCTCTGCTGTTGCGCCCCTGGCCCTACCTCCCATCTCACATCTCCCTTCCCAACAGAACCTCAGACAAGAACAGGAAGCAGGGAGCTGGCCAGAACTGCAAAAATACACTTTCCAGTCTTCCTTTCCTTTCGCAGGGAGAAAAATATTTCCTAGAAACCCGCCCCCTGCCACAGCCTTAGCACCTCTCGCTGCAAAGTATCTGGGGAGATGAATTTTCTTCCTCTACAACAGGAGGCAAAGGAGAAGAGGTTGATGGGGATCGGAGGTTAGAGCCAACGCATGTTTCTGCCAAATTTCCCAGTGTTGTGAAAGATTCTAGAGAACGGGACCCTGGTATGAATTTGTAATAGATCTGAAGTAGAATGTCTTCAATGAAATGCAGTTTACTTTAGTTCTTTTCCAGACACATTATTAGGCATTAACAGGAAACAAGCCACCAAAATAATCCTGCTGAACCCACCTCGAATAGCTTACCCATGCTTTAAGAGGAACCTGTACATACTGTCCAAGAGGCTTGTCCTGCTCATTTTACCTGAGTAGCCTGTGTTATTAGCCACAGACTGAGGGGAGGTAAATTTCCTTGAAAGCCTCCCCCTAGTGATTATTGGTGTAAATGGACAAAGGTGGGTGGGGGCTAGCCAAGATCTGAGTCAGTAGGAGCTCCACTGGCAAATGCTGCATATATGCATTGGCTGTATACATATGGTTCATATAGGGGTTTGTGTGTGTGTGTGTGTGTGTGTGTGTGTACATGTATGTATGTGTGTGTGTGTGTAGATGTTAGGAGTGACCTGGACAGTTAGATAGTCAGGACAAGGGTCCCAACAAGGAAATAGGGAGTCAGAACAGCTAAAATAAAACAGCACTGATGGCCTGTTTTGCAGCTTAGAAAGGACCACACTAACATTTTGCTTTGCAGCCTTTGCAGAAATGACTTCTGCAAAACGTCCTTAAATAAGACAATTAACCACAAAGCGTTCGGCAATATCAGAGGCAAGGGACAGTTAAGACACACCCACAGATGTCAGCAAAAGAAGACCATCAGCACAGAGACATTAACCTAATAAGTAGGCAGATATCTGACTAAAGCCCTGGTGGCATGATTCAGCATATCGTGACTGCTTAAGACAGCTCCACGAAGAGCTCATAGAAACCCTTAAACTTAGACACTCTGGGAGTAACCCACTCACGCTCCCCTCCCTCTCTGGGAGCTTAATACTCTTGCTCAATGAACTTTGCTTTGTTGCCCACCACTCTTTGTCTGGTCTACCTCTTCATTCTTCCAAGAGGCATGACCAAGAACCTCAGGCACGAAGGGGACAAAAATTCTGTAACATATACAGCGGAACAGCGGTCACTCAGATGCCCAAGCTGCATATCTTTGAGTAAGTTGCTTGACTTCTAAGAGGGTTTCCTGTAAAATAAAAATAACAGCACCAGGCTACCTCATACAGTTGTTTGTGATGATCTAACAGAAGACAGAATGATGTGTGTGACTTACTTGGAAACTTAGAAACTCTGTCCAAGTGTAAAGAGCAGCTGTCCCCACGGAGGGGCTTGTCTGAAGCTGAGCAGGTTTGTCTTCCCTGTACTTAAGTGCCAGCTCCTTTAGGACAAGAATTCAGCCTATGATGTTGAGCATATAATAGAGCTCAATAAATATTTGAGAACTTTTAAAAAAAGATTTATTTATTTATTTGAGGAGGGGGGAGGGACAGAGTGGGAGGGAGTGTCTCCAACAGACTCTGTGTGGAGCCTGACTTGGGACTCCATCTCATGACCCTGAGATCATGACCTGAGCCAAAACCAAGAGCTGGGTGCTTAACAGACTGCACCCCCCAGGTGTTCCTATTTGAGAACTTTTTTTTTTTAAGATTTTATTTATTTGACAGAGATCACAAGTAGGCAGAGAGGCAGGCAGAGAGAGAGGAGGAAGCAGGCTCCCTGCTGAGCAGAGAGTCCAATGCAGGGCTTGATCTTGGGACCCCGAGATCATGACCTGAGCCGAAGGCAGAGGCTTAACCCACTGAGCCACCCAGGCGTCCCCCTATTTGAGAACTTTTAAAACAGTGTTATGTGTTTGGGGAACTGAGGGGACCAGAATATAGCACACCAAAATATGCCACTTTGGGATACAGATTATTGTAAATTGAAGGCAGCTGAGAAAGACAGACACAGGAGAAGTTCTGTCCTCTCCCTTTCTGCCTAAAAGCAGGGTATAAATTTCCTTTGGTGAGGGTAATATCAATTTCCCTTGGTGAAGGTATCTGCTCCCCACTCCCATACCAGGAAAGAGAGATGATAATTCTCACTGGAGATGTCACTGACTTGAGTCTGAATAAACTAATTTTATTATACAACCCAAATCTTCAATGAGTTTCCCCCATGTATCCACCTTCCCACAATTTATGACTTCTAGAAGACCAACCCTCTTTTTCTTTGTCTTGTCCCTTGTCTACAATTTTATCACCTTTTGTTAGAATGGCTTATCAGCTTTCAAGCCCAAATGTTTCTTTGGGTTTTCACACCTTTTCTGTGAGGCCCCAAGTGCATGCAAAATAAATCTTATCTACTGTTAATCTGTCTTATGTTGGTTTAATCCACATGACCCAGCTACTGAACCTAAGAGGGTAGAGGAAAAGATTTTTTCCTACTTCTATAGAATCACAGTAGTGGTAAGAACCAGAGTTTTGGACTCAGACCTGGGACCAACTCCTGGATCTACTATGTACTGAGCTGTGTGGATGAACCTTTCTGAACCTCAGTTTTTTAATCTGTATAATGAGAATAGCAATGGTACTTCCTCGTTAAATTGGCAAGATTAAAATGAGGCCGTCTAAGTACCTGGCCATAGAACATGCTCAGTGATGTTAACTCTTATTATATATTAAAGAGCCTTAGAAGGGAAAGCGATTTTGCAGTATGTTTTTTAAATGATGTAATCTAATCACATTTTTATTCATATATATCCATTCAAAGAGAAAAAGCTTACAGACTTTTCGCCCTAACTTCAGGGTAATCTGAACAGTGTTTATCCTGGGTGGCCTAATTATAAAACAATCCTGATGTTACAAGTGGTAGATTAAAAGAAAGGCGGTTTCCTCTAACAACTGCACAACGGGAAAATGCTACAATGAGCATGCACTGAGGCAAATCCCAGTGAGGTGAAGTCCTTATGGGGTACTAACAAACCGCAGGGGTTAAGGCAAAACCCTACAAATTTGTTCTGTAAACACGTGTCTGGTAACGTCAAGTTGGTGATGAAAACGGAGAGCAGGCTTACATCTGTTTTTTGTTTGTTTGTTTTTACATCTGTTTTAAATAGAAACTTTCTTTCCCTCCCCGGGCTCAAAAAGCTCTTGCAGCACTTGCCTCGCTACTCAAATTCCCCATTAAGTGCCAACCTGCTGGGGCCGAAGGGATTTGATTTCTGACACCCAAGCTTCCTGCCTGCACTTGGATCCAGCTTCGAGAGACACTCACCCAGGTCCTTCTTCGCAGATACAGGTCTGTTGGAGGACGTGGCTCTAGGTCTGAAAATCAGGTGGGTGGGCACCTGGGTGGCTCAGTGGGTTAAGCCTTTGCATTCGGCTCAGGTCATGATCTCAGGTCCTGAGATCGAGTCCCGCATCGGGCTCTCTGCTCAGCAGGGAGCCTGCTTCCCCCTCTCTCTCTGCCTTCCTCTCTGCCTACTTGTGATTTCTCTGTGTGTCAAATAAATAAATAAAATCTTAAAAAAAAAGAAAGAAAAAGAAAGAAAGAAAGAAAAGAAACCAGGTGGGTTTGCCAAGACTGAACCTCTGAACTGAGCTCAGCTCTCCAGGGCCAGGCCCGGTGGGAAAACCTCAGGTCTCGTCCGCAGGGGAAGGGCCTTTACTGGCACAGAGGAGAGTGGGCCAAAGACAGGCCTGGTGCTCTCTCGAGACTCATCTATCTCCCATCTCAGGAGAAGGGGGTCTGGCATGTTACCCTTAAGACAGGTGACACAGTTGGGTGGGGGTTTTCTCCCAACTCTCTCATGGCGGTTGGGGTTTATAATTTCCCCCGCCCAAGCCTTGTTCAGCCAGGAAGAGCATGGGTTGTTGGTTCCCTCATCATAGCCTGCTGGAGATAAGAAAGCTTCTTCTGGGTTTGCTCCCCTGGGCCTCCCACTGCCCTTCAGCACCTTAGCTCTGCATCTAGACGCACGGCTGGTGGTCTCATCCTGCCCAGGGGCCCAGCCCCTTTATAGGCACATGGTGATTTGCCAAGCCCGTTGTGGCTCCGGATGTCTTTTTGGGACATGTAGTGCTTGTGGCTCGGAGTACAACAGGGTTGCGATGGAGTACATGTGTGTGTCCCCACAAATCTCTATGTTGATATCCTATCCCCAAGAGGAAGGTGTTAGGAGGTGGGGTCTTTGGGAAGTGATGAGCTCATGAGGATGGAGCCCCCATGAAGGGGATTAGTGCCCTTAGAAGAGGCGCCCCGGAGATCTCCTTTGCCCCAACTGCCTCGTGAGGACACTGGAAGAAGATGGATGTCTGTGAACCTGGAAGTGAGTTTTCACCTGACACTGAATATGCTAGAGACTTGATCTTGCACTTTCCACCCTCCAGAC